TCTTTTTTTCTCTGATACGCACCTGTCCTTTTTTATTCTTGGAATAGGCTTTATTGTTAAACTGCTGCCATTTGGATTTCTGATCTTCTCTCTCCTGCTCCAGCTCCTTAATGCGCTGCACCTTTTTCTGGGCCTTTTTCTTCTTATATTCCCTCTGCTCCGCCAGCAGCTCTTTCCTAAGAGAAAACACAATGGGAAAACGTAAAAAAAAAAAAATCTTGAAATGCATTTCTGTCACTGGCCTTTTAGAAATAGCTAGTAAATCTATCATTATGCTATATTACCACCAAATCTTGGATTCAACCTTTCTGTCAACTTGTTTTCTTTCAAATAGCACAGGTTTTGTATTTCTTTTGGAATTGATTAATCTCATTGATCTGAGACTATGCACCTCAGTTGAGTGGAAAAAAATTATTTGGGATTATTTTTTAACAATATCACTGAAAAACAGGTGCATAAGCTCAGTTTAATGAGGCCTATATAAAAAAAATAAAAAACAGATACAAAACCTGTGCAAATTGGAAGAACACAAGCTAATAAAAATATTGAATCCAATATTTGGTAGTATGGCACACCAAGAAATTTATACACAACTTTTCGTAGGCCAATCATTTTTGACCAGGAACACCACAAGTGTTACAAGGTGGGGGGAAAAAAAAGAAAATCTCAAAAAAGTATAAAAATGATCTAAATGCTTTGGGAAGTTATACATTTCTTTTTTTTTTTAAACAAGCAAAAGTAGCACCAATACTACATACTTAATACTTCATATTGGTATATTTTATACTTTTAATGGTTAATTATAGTTAATACATTTAAAAAGCAATATAGTTTTTGAGATCATTTGTCTTACAACAATTAAACAAATATTAAAAGTATTTCTTTACTGACATCTAAATTTATTGTAGCAACTGTGCTTATTTACAGCTTTTAAATCATAAAATACCTTATAAAGATGTGTTGAATTGATTAGACTGTATATCAAAACAGACATAAACTTAATTTTGACATCTACTTACTTGGATTTGGGCTTTCCCTCCTTCTCTTCTCTACTCCTGCCTTCCTCCACTGGTTTAAGCACATGAAGCGGCATTACCTCTGCGTTGCCGTAGCTAGAGAAGGTGATGGCTGCCGTGCCGTTCTCAGTGTCAATCTCTTCAATTTCCGCTTCATACAACCTGCCAATCACACAGCACTGTAAGCAGGTGAGTACGGATATATACACAAATCCCTCCAAATGTAGCCAAACACAATCCCACCCAACACTCAATAAGTAAGATCAATATACCTACTGTGTGTTTGTGTGTGATACTCACTGTCCGTCCTTGCTCCAGGTGGCCATGCAACAGTCTCCGACCCTCCAGCTGCGAGTGGGAGCGACTGCCTCTGAGCTTTTGGTGCTGGCTGCACCCTCCACTGGCTGTGATGTCAACAGGTCTTTTGTCAACTCAATCACCTCCTATAGTGACACATAACAGCAATGATTTGATGAATATACTTCGATAGAAAGGTACTTTTCATCTTGTCAAAGGCTATCAGGCATCAGCCTAAGTGACTAAAACAGGACCACTGAAAAACATGACAGACCAAGTTTTAACAATGTACACACACATAATTTTTTTTTTAAAAACCAAACACATTAACACCAGTAATAATATAAAGACACATTTAAACACATTAAACTTCACAATTCCCCTCTACTGTAGTAATGCCTCACAAAAAGCAGTAGATAATTGTGCCCCAAACCTGGAGGTCCTTCTGCAGTTTAAGCAGATCTTCATTATCTGGATCTGTAGAGAGCGCCGCTTCCACCTGCTGCAGCTGAGCTTTATAATTGCTCAACTGCTTTACCAACTCTTCAGACATCTGAAAAATCAAAAAAACATTTTTTCAAGTGATAAGTAAAAACAGGCCTGAAAACACCCACCCTTTCTTTACATGTATAAACATCTAATTTATATTGCACCAGCACAAAATTCATAATAACCTAACAGTTCTCAAGAACAAGTTTCCCAAATATTTTTTGATCTGTATCCAACCTAAATTGTGATTTTGAAATACTCCCTTAGACTTAAAGCAATGTTAACGTTTTGAAATAGAATAAATGTAACAACATGTTGGCATGTTTACTTGTGATATATAATTAAAAAAAATACGGTAACACTTTATTTTAAGGTGTCCTTGTTACATGTACTTACTATTATAATAACAATATGCATAATTACATGCAAGTAACCCTAAACCAAACCTAATGTTAACCCTAACCATGTAATAAGTACATGTAGTTAATTAATATTACTCAGTACTTATGTATAATTGCACTGGAACAAGGACACCTTAAAATAAAGTGCAACCAAAAATACTATAAATATTTCACATTTACAGAGCCATATGTATTTATTTGTTACGTTTTATTATAAATGTTTACTTAATTTAATACATCATTAGCAGTGAATCTCACAAATCTCTGTTTTGACTCAAGTTAAACGCACACCAGCGACTAATGTATAAATGGAGCACAAGGCCTCGCGCTCGACAAAAGACATGTTTATACATTTATAAACACAAGATAACCGGATCATCCTTGAACATGCGTCTTACCTTTAAATATTCCTAGTATAATATTTATATGAAAACCAGATGAATTGAGGTGTTTAAATATCACATGAACGACTGTATGTTTAGTAAAAAGGACACCGTTCTATTACGTTTGTATCTTTTCTCGTTTCGAGCTTTTCCCGGATGTGACGCCACAGTCTCGCGTGATTAAAGTTGTCGCGGTGTTGCCGCTGCCGTGCGCTTGCAGAGAGGAAAGGCAAAAGCTGAATAGAATAGAATAGAAATTAAAATAAAATAGAATAAAATAAATAACATTATAGTCTATATTAAATGATACAAGTATACGGGCATTAGAGTTCAGCGCCACGCATAACATGGTTTTGCAACATTCTGCAAAGTAGGGACTTTAATTAAACTAACAGTTTGTAATTTGACCATATAATACACGTTTTATATTATATGTTATAATCCAACAAAGCAATTAAAAGTTGCTGTGAATGTTTGCAAATGTAGGCTCGATTCCAGGCACACGCTTCTTCAAGACACCTACATTAGAAATTACACTGACTTCACAAAAACAAACACACCTGCACTACAGATGTTTTTAATGTGTATATACATACAAATTTACCAACCTCATCATCAACACTAAACTTTTAAAAAATCATTGTGTACTCTTTTTCCTTTTCCTTCCCATTGTTATTATTTTATCAGACTTTTTAAAATTACTATACCAATAAAGCCACTTTAATCTTGAGATGGAGAGACAGTACAACAACATCAGTATATTTTATTGCATTTTTATGTAATGTAACGTAGGCTATCCAAAAACACACATTCTAGTGCAGCGTGTTCGCGCCAGCGTTCTACTGACCTACGTAGGTTGAGATGATTGGTCTACGGACTGACCAATAAGAGCTCAGTGTCTGTCTGTAAACAAAAGATTTCGTCAGTGTTTTCCAGGAGCGCGATACTGTCCTGTATGTTACTCAGGTCGAGCAACCTTTAGTTTTTTTGTCTTTTGTTCACAAAAAAAATTAAATTAAATAAAAAGATAAAATAGGACACTACATTTCAAAACGTGATTGAAATTCCAAGGAACAGCGATGTCAACGCAAAAACTTATAACTCAGGAAGAAAGTCTGCACGGTGAGTTATACAATCTGTCTTGCTCGAATAAATAACACGCCTAAGTTACATCGACAACTAATGAAAACAATAAGAGCATTAATAGTAACAATAAATTATTTATTAACATTCCTAGGTTTTATACCAATGTACACCCTGTTTCCTTTTTATAAACCTCTACAAAGCAGAACATTGTGTTCAAATCCGGTAGTACTGCCAAGTCAGCAACTTGTTTGCTAAAACAAACATTAGCTCTGTTTTTGTTGGTACAAATGTTTGTTGAAGGACAAGACGCATTTACAATAACCTTTTTTTTTTTTTTTAACGGATTATATTGGAATTTATGGACTAACACCCAAATACGTACTAATATTATACTTATAATATAATACTTATTTTGGAGACTTTTTGCTTCAGTTTCTGTTACACCAAGTGTAGTAAAGTATATGTGGTTGTTGTAAAGCTCTATCTAAAAGGCCTAATCAAACATTCACCGCTTCTAAAAGTGGAAACTGCTTTTAATGATCATTTCTAAATGCTCTGATTTACCTTTCTCCACCAGACTCATGGGTAGAGCTCCACTTTGATTCATGTAGTGAACATGGTGAGGACGCACCAGCCCTTTCTGATATCACAGACCTGGAAAAAATGCTTCTGGAAGCACAACGGGAATCCAGCAGTAGTTCACGGACAAGTTCTCACTGTAGCAGGTGTGTACAAACCGCTTTAAGTGATCTGCATGTACTATGTGACTTTACAAGGGAGTGAATGATCATTCTAATCACATTGGCTGTTGTGATTTATTTCCTCCTAGTCCCCGACGTGTCCAGACACCTCCACTCATCAGTGCAGCCTCCTTCAACACACACATCATTGCACAGGTAAAAAAAAGTTTTTCTTGCATAGGTTTGCATTTATTAAAATATAAATACCTTTCCACAACACTCACAGGCAGGAACAATGGTTTTAAGTAGTACAAATATTGCATTAAAATTTACTCATCCTCAGGCCATCCAAGATGTAGATGAGTTTTTTTCTTCTTCGGAACACATTTGGAGAAATTTAGCATTACATCACTTGTTCACAGGTAATCGACACAACTCCAATCCATCATTTAACATCTTGTAAAGCAAAAAGCTGTGCGTTTGTAAGAAATGTTGCTTTCGACTTAAATACAAGTCCTCTATCAATAATACTGCTTTCTCCAGTGAAACATCATCTTGTCTGAATCAGGAGAAGCATATGTACAATTCAAGTACTGTTTACAAGTGAAAACAGTCCAAAACAAATATGTCTATGGATTTGATGTGAGAGGACAACAGAGAATGGATGTTTTCACTGGAGGAAGTATTATAATGGATTATGGACTATTGGATATGGATATGGATATTTTGGCCAGAAGTGATAGTTTAAAGGGGTCATATGATGCGATTTCATTTTTTCCTTTCTCTTTAGAGTGTTACAAGCTCTTGGTGCATAAAGAAGATCTGTAAAGTTGCAAAGACTAAAGTCTCAAATCCAAAGAGATATTCTTTATAAAAGTTAAGAGTTAGCCACACCTACCTAAAACGGCTCGTTCTCGCTCCGGCCGGACACAGCATCAACAGTATGGTGAGGGGCATAACATTTCTGTCTCACGCTTGAGGTATTCGGCCAATCATAACGCACTGGATAGCTGGCTAATCAGAGCACACCTCGCTTTTCAGACCGATTAGTTTTGTAAAAATCGACGCGTTTCAAAAAGGCGGGGCATAGAGGAGAAACAATAATGTACAGTATGTGGAAAATAATGTGTTTTTTTAACTTTAAACCGCATAAACACATTTCATTACACCAAATACACAAAATAATGTTCTTTTTAGCAGCATCATATGACCCCTTTAAAGTTAAAATGCCTTAATGATGGATTTGTTTCTTACAAACTCGCAGCTTTTCACTAAACAACACGTTAATTGAGGAATTGGAGTCGTGTGGATTGTTTGTGGATTAATGTGATGTTTTTATCAGCTGTTTAAACTCATTCTGACGGCACCCATTCACTGCAGAGGATCCATTGGTGAGCAAGTCGTGTAATGCTAAATTTCTCCAAATCTCAACAAACACATCTACATCTTCGATTACTAAAAGATCAGATTTTATTTTGAAGCTTTGCTCTTTCTGTTCCAGGGGGAAGTTGTAGCAGAAAGCAAACAGGAAGCTGAGGCTGTCGCAAGGATCTGTGACTGGTCCAGCCGGCCAGAGAATGTTCCACCCACAGCATTTATTATTAAACGGCCAAAACGGAACAGAATGTGCAGCGAAAACACAGAAAAAAATGACAAGGAAATTAACACAAACTTGCTGAAGTTACTGTTACCCTCCCTAGTTTTGACACACATTCTCATGCTTGGGTTGGGGTGAGACACTTTTTCACTTATAAATTCTGACTTTATGTTTGCCACACTTTTGTTCACAGTTTGACTATTTTTAATCTTTCTCTCTCTGCAGGATCTGTATTGGACGACGCCTTTCCACTCAGTGCTCTGTTATCTGAGTCATAGCACATGAGTGTGTGTGTGTGTGTGTGTGTGTATGCTGTGTGTCAGTGTCTCTAGAAAGAACCTGACAGCCTGGAACCCTTTAGTTTTCCTCCAGGAGAAATGCAGGACTATGTAAGAGGACACTGTGAAAATATGAGGAAAGATGGAAACTCTCAGCATTATTTTTTTTCTTTGGTTCTCCTGTGGGGACTTTGGCACAGAATTAAAAAAGATTAATCCAGTTCTGTATGGGTATCAGGTTAGATTAACCAGGAAATATGCCTAATAGATTTCATCTTTTTTTGCTTGGAATTAAAAGTGTTTGTTACATTAAAGACATGAGCATGAAGATTATTTTACTGACCAGGTCACATTGTAGTCCTTCAGCTGACCTGCTTTTTAAATAACATTTTAAATCATTATTTTTGAAAAATGCAAATGTATGTTTGACAGAAAATTCAGAGGCATATAAATACTTATTCTGACATTTACTCTAATGTGACATGCTGTGGAAAACTAATAAACTGTGCTGCCAAAATAGTAATCTTCAAATTCTTTTTTTGTTGAAAAGAGAAGTACTTTCGCATTTTTTTGCATCCATCCAACTAAGTACATAAAAGCAAATATTTAAATAGAAAATTAACCATGTTTAACTTGCTACCAAGTCTCAATTTTTGTACTGGCATTTCAGGGACAGCAGGTGGCGGTGTAATCCGATTTTCTGTTTGGTTTTTGGTTGGAGTTGACACTTCTTATAACTTTTATTTCAAACGTACCAAACAGAATTAGTGTTACAGACATTTTCAGGCAATATGATTAATGGCAACATCGATTTAATTATAGGCTGCCAGTATTTTCTTTCTTCACAGAGAATGAACTACCCCAGACAATGGATGACTGTGGAGACCTACATATTCAGCATAGCAATGCTATCTAAAATAAACTAAACTGCTTGAATTATTAAATTCTGCTTAATGATAAACGAACACGGCTATGACGGGTGTTAATGATCAAATTACATGTACAGAGTGGGTAATTGAAACAGCATGGATGCACAGCCTAGGTGATCAGAATATGGATGTATAACTGCTATACGTATGCTAGTGGGTTAGTTTGGGAAGGAGAGAAAAGAAATATATTAAATTGATGATTTGACATTTTGAACAGCAGGAGGATTCATTAATGCCTTTCTAATGCGGAACATTTTCTAAGAAACCTGCAGGCGTTTGTGCACTTATTTCACACATACAAAAATTCTTCGCTGTTCAGCATTTAAAAAAAAATGCTTAACCTCGTGATGTTCGAATGTGTTTTTGCATTAAAGTTTCAAAACGACACAAGAAAATTCTAAATATTTATTTGTAATATTACTTGACAAATTGCGTTGTGAAAATATCTGCTATTCATTATCTTATTAAAATATTTAGTATTAAATATTTAGTATATAATAAAAAATGTAACACGAGTGATATATAGACACCTCAGAAAAGTTAACTGGAAAACGAACCATTTTTATATATGATCAGTAACTTAATGTGATAAACAAGCGGTTGATAAATTGTATCAAAGGGTTATTTGAAAATATTTAGTACGACTTTTTTTTTTTTTTTTAATAAATATGTTCCGCGCCAGTTTCAAAGATAAAATGGAATTTTAAATGAATCTGTGGAGATAGAGCACACTGCATTTGTGGCCTTTGTTGAAAAGGAGAAGGTGAAGAGAAATGCGGAATCTATGAAATACTGGATTTAGAAAATTAAAAATGAGAAATTCCTAATTAGAAGTTATGATGCCATGTAAGACAAAGCATATATTTGTTTATTCATCCGTTTGATTTAGGAGCCAGTAGGTTTAAAGACAAATAATGGAATCCGTTACAAACTCCAGTTACTGTACAACAATGGTGAGTACTGTATAACGTGTGGACTGCTTTAGAATAGTCTACTTTAAGAAATACACTTCCTTTGAAAATACAACTTTCATTTATATGATGTTCAGTATTGTTGCTGTGTTATTCATTTAATTGACGTCTTTTAGGTGTCAGAACTGAGCAAGATCTATACATCCGTTTGATAGACTCTGTGACCAAACAGGTAAAACAATTTATGCACTGTAATATTACTTGCAAGAATATGTTATGTCTTAGCACAAAAAGACCGCTTCAGTCAAGACTAAATGTTTCAAAAAATGTCATAATTCTGAAGTGATCGTGTAATTGATATATAATATATAATTTACCAATGTTATATGTGGGTGTGTTGTCTACAGAGCTCAGATGATATTTTCACTGAAATACACGTAAATATTTACATGATATATTTATATATTTTATTTGCATAACATTAACCTGGTGTTGTTTTTATTCTTTCAGGCAATTGTGTTTGAAGGTCAAGATAAAAACCCTGAAATGTGTCGTGTTCTTCTCACTCATGAGATAATGTGCAGGTAACTAGTGTCAAACAACATTAAAGCGCACAATTAACTCATGCAATCTCATGCAAACAAACACAATGTCATAAAATAGTCTTACAAATTAGTGTTTATTTGCTGTAATTATAATATGCCGGTTATTATTTTTTTTACAGTTGATGCAGTGATAATTGTGTTAATTTATAAATGTGAATTTTCAGCCGATGTTGTGATAAGAAAAGTTGTGGAAACAGGAACGAAACACCATCAGACCCCATCATTATTGACCGGTAGGACAATCAGCTGCATTCTGTAAGATTATGTGTAAGTACAATAAAGGAAAGAAAATGTTTATTGTTATTACTTATAAAGTTATTATTTAAAGAAACTGGGATTTGTCATCTTTAAGGATAAAAAGCAGACAGACAGATTGTACTCCTTCATCTCTCCAATTCTCAGTTTCTAATATTTTTTATCTTCTTGCATCATTTTATCAGTGACAGTTTTTCTCTATTCCTTGATCCACAAATACCTTCACATGTTTGCATGTTTTCTTTTCATTACATACCTAGGTTCTTCCTGAAATGTTTTCTCAAATGTAATCAAAATTGCCTGAAGAATGCAGGGAACCCACGAGACACACGTCGTTTCCAGGTACACACACAAGTTCATATTGTATATTCATATCACTGATGTCTATAAATGTGTCTCATAATAGATCTGTTTAATCAACATGAAATATTTAATGAAAAAGGCTGTCCCTTATGGTACTGAATTGCCCTGCAGAAGTACGATAGTAAAAACTATAAATGTAGCTAACACTATTACTTTACTTCATTCAATTTATGTACTGTTTTTTTACAATCCTTGTGCCACATCAAAATGTCCATTTGTGCCCAACATTTCCTGCACTAGACTACTAGTGAAATGTCCTGTGCATTGCAGGTGCTGGTCTCTACCACAGCCTCTGTTAAGGGCCACATTCTAACCATTTCAGATAACATATTTGTCCATAACAATTCAAAACATGGCAGAAGACCAAGAAGGTTTGAGCTGACTGAAGGTACAGTAATTACAAAAATTGTTCTAATAATTCTATGATTACTAATGATTCAGTGCAAAATCAAACACACACGACTAACTATGCAATTCAAATCAGGGTGGTTACTGACTGTTCATATGATAATGTGTAGGTAAATACACAGTAGAAGAAGAGTATACAATATTTTTTTGTTTGTTTGTTTAGGATTTTTTAGTATAAATTTGCTGTTGTTTATGTAGGTCTGTCTCTAAAGTGCAATACCCTTATTCAGCATATTGAGCTAATATTTGTGTGTTAATTTAGCTGAGGTCCCCTGCATTAAGGCTATCAGTCCGAGTGAAGGTTGGACGTCAGGTGGAGCCTCAGTGATTATTATTGGAGATCAGTTCTTTGATGGTCTTCAGGTGGTTTTTGGAACAGTGATGGTCTGGAGTGAGGTGTGTCACAGTCTCAATCTCTGTTGTCAAACAAAGAATTGCTATAAATACATTTTTGTTTCATTTTTAGCTTCCTTGTTCCATTTGTTAATTTTTTTGTACATCATTCACTACAGATCTCCCACAGATCATTGCAAATTTTGGAAGGTGTGAAATACAGTGTTTCCAATAAACTTGCCTTCAGTAATTTTCAAATCTTGATGTAAATGAAAGGAGCCTCCACAGAGAGAGATATGCAGACTCAGGATTTGTACTTCCCATGAGGGTGATGACTTTTTTGGTTTTGTTATAGGTCATCACACCACATGCGATTCGTGTGCAGACTCCACCTCGTCACATCCCTGGTGTTGTAGAAGTTACACTGTCCTACAAATCCAAACAGTTCTGTAGGGGACCTCCAGGACGCTTCATTTACACTGGTAGGAATTATAGAGTTTGGAATATTCTTTCAATTTACTGTAACCATAGTTATTAGATTTTTTTCCTGTTATATAATGCCTTTTTGGAAGCTCAGACAATCTCATTTGTTTTGTTGCTGGCTGATACTGGCTGAAAATGTTTCTCTGTTTAAGCTTTAAATGAGCCAACCATTGACTACGGGTTCCAGCGGCTGCAGAAGGTCATTCATTATCATCCAGGCGACATATAAAGACTACCAAAAGTTAATTTCTTCCCAAATTCGGTGTTGTCCATTTTAATTGTTCTAGATTGTGTTTTAAATGTTTAATTCAATTTCAAGTCATGAAATAGCATGTCTATAAATTTAACTCTCCAAAAGGGGATTTTATTTGACACTTGGAAATACAATTACAAATGATTTTTGATTGACAGGAGGTCTTACTGAAGAGAGCAGCTGATCTCTTAGACATGTTTTATGGAATGCCTCACAACAACCAGGTCAACATAACATTTTGATTTTTTACTCAGGCTTGCTATCCCAATATACAGTACCGTTTGCTGCTGAAATCCAGAGTGGGAAGTGATGTTATTTCTGTGCTTTTGTGTCTGGCAATAGGAGATGATTCTGAAGCATGAGGTACTCCACGCCATCCCACAAAACCCATCCCACACAAATTCACACAGAATGATGGGTGTTAACTACTTTGATGCACAGTTACCCGTGAACACAGAAGTTTCACAGGATGTAGAACGAGGTATGCCGTATGTATACATGTGAGTATGGTACATATGTCCCACAACAGTGTGTTAATAAATGAATGTCTCTCAATGTCTGTTTCAGTGGGTTTCAGTCAGAGTTCAAGCAGTGGCTTCATTGCAGGCAGCACATCCCAACAGTCTGAATTCAATAATACCAACACGTGCATGAATGGACACACACATTCGCATGCACACTCCTCTATGCAAAGGCACACACACTCAAAAACACACCCGTCCATGGCTGGGCACACACAAACACATGCACGCCCTTCTGTGTCAAACTTCTCTGTGGCTGCCACACAGCCGTTCTTAGAGAGTCCCACAGCAGACACACAACACTACATCGGTAAGAACACATCTTTCTCTCTGTCTGTAACTGTCAAACTTTTTAACTTTTTTTTTTTTATCAGAGTCAGCATTCAAAGTTGGTTAACATTGAATTATGAATTTATCTGAATTTAAGTTCAATTTAATTCTACTTCAT